CCTCAATAATTTTATATGACATAGAGGCTGAGAAATTATCAATATTCCTATTCTTCCTATGGTGTAGAGTTTGAAATGAATTTTATATTTGACAGTTGTGCTGTGAATGATTATATACAAGCAGTTAGGAGCTTGACATGCGAGATGCTAGATCTAGTGGTTGAAGGTTTATTTGTTCCAGACAAATCCGTCTTCAGTAGGCTCATCAGAGACGTCCAGAGTGATTCATGTTTCAGGCTCAATCACTACCCTCCTATGGAAAACTCTAGGGAATGGGATCCATCTCCAAAGCTTAATGCAAACACTCGTATGAGGTTTGGAGAGCATTCTGACCCTCAAATCTTGACCATCCTGCGATCAAACGATGTTGAAGGCCTTCAAATTTGTTTACATGATGGGTTATGGGTCCCTATCACTCCTGACCCCACTGAATTTTGCGTGTTTGTAGGTGATGTTTTACAGGTTAGTATATATATTCATTTTTATTATTTTACCCATATTCAGTATGCAATTATTATTTATTTTTTATACAGAAATTATGTTTGTATGACATTTTCATTAACTCCCATTAAGCTTGACAAGTCAAAACTATGAAACTAGAAAGAAAACAACACTCCCAAAATGAAATGTATGAACTAAATTTATTTTAAATATGATTCATACTACATTAATATAAACTTATATCATATATTTTATTTTCGGGATACTTTTTCATGGCACATATCTTTTCCAATTTTGTTATTGACATATTCCTAATTGATGTTGGCAATGAAAGGCTATGACAAATGGAAAGTTTGTGAGCGCAAGACACAGAGTAATAGTAGCAAACTCAGTGAAACGCAGAATGTCAATGATATATTTTGGGGCTCCACCCCTTAATGCATGGATCTCTCCTCTTCCAAAGATGGTATCACCCCAAAAACCAAGTCTCTACAAACCGTTCACTTGGAGTGAATTCAAGAAAGCTGCCTACTCTCTACCTTTGGGAGATTGTTGTCTCAACCGTTTTAAAGATTCTCTTCAAATAAGTCTAAGAACACAGAAACTATAGTCACAAAATATGACACGTAATTTATATTAAGGGACAAGATTTTTTAAAAGTGGATCTAATCCCTTCATATCAAATTCTGTAAAATTTTATCTATTTATGCGTATTCTGTGTTTAATTTTTACATTCATAACTGAATTATATATATGTGTGTCTGCGTGCGCGTGTGTTTGATAGAAGTTAAAGAAAGGGTGTGTCTGAATTATGATGGCAGGGGAATTTTTTGTGCTCCAAGTGCTTCGGCTGTGTATTTATGTGTTTTTTTCATTATGCTTCAAGTGGGAAGTGATTTGTGCTTTTACATTAACAAAAACTATAGTGTGAGTTTCGATCAGTAGAAATAAAGATTCTTTTCCTCAAAACATACAATGACCTTTTATGTTGGATTTCGCCCTGAAGAAAATGCTTTCGTTGCTCCTCCTTTCTTCTTCTTCTTCTTCTTTTTTTTTAATTTATTGTCTTTTGGTTTTTTGTTTTCTCATTTGGTCAATAAATTTGAAGCACAGTAATGTTATGAACTAAGAGAATTTTGTTTTTTTTTCAAAAAAAACTCTGAAAAAACAATGTGTTGTTGTGATTTGTTTAAATATGGGTTCCATTGTACAATAAGGGAACGAGTTCGGCAATTTTTTTGTTGCTTTCTTTTTCTTTTTTTTTTTTTTCTCTTCTTTTTTCATTAGTGAAATTTTTACAAATATCTTTAAAATTTATTTATCCTTTTTAGGTATTTTTAGACCAAACCAGAATAATAATTTTTTTAAAACCAAATTTGAAAAAAGTCCATGAAAAACAAGGTAAATAGTGTTTTTTGTTTTTTTCTGTCTTAGTGAACTTTTTTCAAAATTGACTCATTTTTTATTATTGAATTTTTTTGGTCTTCTAAAAGGACCTAAAAACTAAAACACTGAACTAAAAGGACCTAAAAACTTAAAAACTGATATTTTTTTTAAAAAAAAATTTAAAGGCAAATATTTTTGGGATTTTCGAATTGAAGGGACGTGACTGTTGGCGGCTCGAGGCCAATTAGCGCACGACACGTGTCCCCATTAATGGCAGCGTCAGAATTGAAGAGACAGAAAGGTCAGACGAGGCATCGACCAAACAAGTCAAGATACAAGAAGGTCAGAGGAGGCGTCGACCGAGCAAGACAAGGAACCGAGAGCAGAAATTAGCTCAGTCGACTTCCTGCAAAACTGAGAACCGAGAAAGTGTTTACCCCGGTCATAACAGGTAATCCCAGTCACGCTTTGGCGGGCGGAATTAAGGGGCAATTGAGAGGAAGATTTATAGTCTAGTTTGGGTCGTGGAAATGGCCAGGCAGATTTGGGCCGAACAAGTTTGGGCCGCGGTGAAGCGGGTCCATCCTGAAAGGTTTTGCTTGGTTAAGGCAAGGCGTAGTCGGACCGAGCTACGTGGCTCCATGGTGTAGAAGCTAGTGAAGTGGGATTACCGACGCCATTGAAGGTGTGTAGGTTCCACGGTTCATGATTTAGCTCGGCAGGAAAGCCGGTGGCAAACTAGTATGAGCTGTCCCGAGCTCGGCTATGCCGGGATGCAACCGAGCTCGGTCCTCAATGAGCTTGGATATTGGAACGCTTAGGCTTGAAGTGCAGCATGGCCGTTGGAAGCCGAGATATTGCAATCCGGCTGCCGAGCTCCCAGTAGAGTGGGCTGGCAGTTGGGATTAGGTGATGTTCAGCAAGATTTTTTCTGACAGATGGGATAGCAGCACCACGTGCCGAGAGACTAATGGGAGTGGGTTTAGGGCGCAGAAGGTATATAAGCGAGTCTGCGCCTCCCATACGAGACAGATGACATTTTGGTGAGAAAAACACTAAACACAACTCAGTCCTCTCCCTCTCTCTATCCCTGTGTGTGTGTCTAACTTGATCGTCGGAGGGGTTTTCCGGCCACACACCGCCGGGTAGCTCACCGCCGTTGTGCTCGCAGGTCGATCAGACAGACAGGAGCTTGGAAGAAAGGAGTACGAGCTTACCTGAATATTTGTTCCCCGCACAGTAACAATGTTGTAAAGTTATGTTCAATTATAATTATTTTCTGAACAATTAACTGTACTGCTTTTTGAAATGATACTGTTTTCTGAATGAATGTTTGTCATATTTTATGAACTGTACTCGTGGCATCCATAGCAATTGACTGTTACTGCCACTGCTACTGTTACTACTACTGTTACTACTACTGTTATAAAGATCTCTGTCAATTCCAATTGTTGGAACTACTGTTTACTATTTGATGGCCATCAACTGATTATTCGATCTTTTAAGACCTATTGTACTGTTTTGCTATTTGATGTACCACAGATGACTGCAATGATCACTATATAACAGATATGATATGAAATATGAGATACTGATCGAATAAATGATTTACTGTTGCAATTAACTGTTTTATATGCTAAAAGGACATTCATTCTTAACCTCTTTACATATTCGTTATTCATTGGGCTCTAACTCATTGTTTATTATATATATGTAGATGATCGAGCACCAGATCAGAGTTAGCGGCGTTGACCCGAACCCTGTTTTTGTCAAGCCAACTATTGTGCCTCACTGTGAGGTTCCGAACCATTACATGCCAGGATTTATTGGGTGATTCAATTTCACCCTTTTGACATTATGTTTATGAGATAAGAATGTTTATTGAGTTTTGTTAACTGTTTTTGGCACTAATATCTAATTCCCTAGCTCATGTTTTGTTATGAACACATGTGTTATGGACTTAAGTGTTTGTATAATTCTAAGTGTGTGAAATTTGTTTTGTTCATTTAAGTCTCCACAGCTCATTGGACGGTATTTTGTATTATTGATTGGCTTCTGCCATCCCCTATTATGAGATTATTGTCATTATTGTTAAGCAGGCCTTTAGTAATCACAGATTACTGGCCGGTTACAACGCTAAACCTATAAAGGCGGGTTTGGGCTGTCACGACCCGTTCCCCGTACCCAAGGGTTAAGCATCGTGATGGCCAGTAACTGAAGTTACCTACGGCCAATTCTTAAACAAATCAATAAACGTGAGCGGAAGTAATATTTAAGTGAGGGTACCCAAAATAATCATCAGATCTTCTATTTTTATTACAAAATTTATTAACCAAAAATGCCGATATTTATATATAAAAATATCATAAAAGTGTTGTGTGTGTCTATTCCGTAATCCCGCGTCTAAGACTTTCCAAAAGCTATTTCTAAATTGTATTGTTTCTTGAAAATTGGTAAACAACTATAAGCACATGGCAGAGTGAGAAATATTATACCAAGAGTATAAGGGACACAAAATAACCATGGATAGTTAGTTAAGGTAAAATATTTACATAACTAAATTTGGTAAATAAATCATTTAAGTGGCAGAAATTGATAAGATAACTTAGTCTGAACAAATAATCATTTAAGTGGCAGAAACTGAAATACATAAATTATGTAAATAAATAACCATAACCACGGTACGGTACAGAACAGAACAGATGCATGGACTTAAGAGGTGGCTCTTACGAACTCTAGAGGCGGCTCCCACAATAGGGTAGCACTTTTGTGGATTTTACACATATATGAGTGGGCCTTGCACATATATGGAAGGTCAGGATTACTTTAGGAATGTGGAGATCGAGTTGAATTTCTCTCTTTGGGCTCTCTCCATGCCTTCTTACTTGTAACAGTGGAGATGTAAGCATTTTGAGTATATCTAACGGTTCAGATTTGGCTATTTAAAAATACAAAAATAATAATAATAAATTAAATGGCTGTTCGATCAACTCAAAGTGCATCTCCACTATTACAAGTAAGGTGACAAGGAGAGAATCTAAGAATCCTGGGAATCATCCTCAAAGAAAGGAGGTCCCAAACATTTTTCTTGATTCAAAAAGAAATTTTATAGTGTAGATAGCCTATTGCCGGCCTATTTTGGAACGTCTAGCATATCGCCAATTATGACAAGGCTTGACATCTGCAATGTTCAGTTATGATTTAGTATACTCCCTCCGTCCCAAAATAATGGTCCCTTTTAGGGAATTCAACTTTTTTTGGTAGTACAATTATTGCATTTGAAAAAAGTTGATTTTCCAAAATTACCCTTTTGATAGTACATTTTTTGAGAATATCAATGTCATAATTGTACTTTTCATATTGTTTATTAATTTAAAAGAATGGCAAAATAGAAAATTTATATTATTTTTGTACTTGACTTTTAAAGAGGGACTAATATTTTGGGACAATGAAAAATAGAATAAGGGACTAATATTTTGGGACGGGGGAGTACTTTTTTTGAAATTTTTTGGGACAAATTTTCCGAGTCCCTAACATTATTGTTAAAATAAAATGATTATAAAAGGCCACATTATTTTATTATACATATTTTATGAGAAATATATGTTTATACATATAATATTGGGGTTTTTATTGATAAGTCCAATTTAGAAGTGTTTTAACCCAAGAAGTCCATGAAGGAATTTTTTAACCCATTTAGTCCCATGTATGTATAGTTTTATTCCATAAAGTCTATTTTCTTGATTTACACTATTTTCTTGGACACTTATACCCTTATATTTAATTTTGATATCCTTATAAATATTTTTTCAGCGATTAGCAATTTAATGATGTGAACATTTATATTTTAAAATTCACATTTATAGGAAGGTAAATTGGCCCGTGGGCGGCTCGAAACCCGCCCGCGAGCCAGAGCGGGCCCGGCCCGTTGACAATGTGAATATTCACATTGACATGTTAAAATTCACATTGATAAGAGTATAAAATTAGGCCGCGGCCCATGGGTGGCCAAAAGCTCGCCCGCAGCCCGGGGCGGGCCCGGCCTGGCCCGTTGACAATGTGATATTCACATTGACATGTTAACATTCACATTGATAGGAGTGTAAAATTAGTCCGCGCTTCGTAACTGCCCGAAACCCGCCCACGGCCCGTGGCGCGGGCCCGACCCGGCCTGTTGACAATGTGAATGTTCACATTGACATGTTAACGTTCACATTGATAAGAGTATAAAACTAGACAGCAGCCCAAGGCGGGCCCGACTCGGCCCGGTCTGGCCTGTTGACAATGTGAATATTCACATTGACATGTTAACATTCACATTAATAGGAGTGTAAAATTGGCCCCCG